TATATATATATATATATATATATATATATATACATACATATATATCTTGTATATATTTGCATATAAATGAACACATACATGAATATATGTGAGGCTGTGTGTTAATATATGATTATTAGAATTTCCCACTCACTTCATCTGTCTATCACTCTCTAGTCAAGCGTGCTAATCATACATATTCATATATACTTGTGTGTATGTAGTGTTTGTGTTGCCATGTGTATGGGTGTGTGATTGTGGCATCATTACTAAACTTTTAAAGCGCTAGCATATATACTACATACATATATATACTAAGAACTGTACAACGACTAATTTACGTTAATTGTTTTATAGTTCATTTATTTCCATCGTGGAAAGCGGAGTTTAATAATGAAAGGAGAGGGGAGAGCTGGTTAATAGCCTAATTAGCGAATAAGCCAAGCTGCTGGCAATGCAGAACGACATGAACGCATAAACAAGCCCAGTAGCAAACAAGTAAAGTCTAGGGTATACGCATAGGCTACTTGCGCACTATGCGTATAACCCTTGTGGACTATGAGGCACCAGTCTGATCCACCAGCCTGTAGTTCTGGAATGTCTTCCACTCGCCCGTATTGTAGTCCAAGCGAATATGCGATTCCACCTGGCACAACGCCGTATTGCCATCTTCCTGTTGCACTTTTTCCTAAACAATTAAATTTTGTATTTAGCAAATGCTCAAATTGATAAACAAACAAAAAAATCATACCTCAGTTTCTCCCAACTTTATGACCAACACATTCTCAGAATTGGGTCGCGGATTCTCGCGCAGCCCAGCCATAAAGCCCAAGATGAGCGCCTTATCAGGACGAGAAACGCGATTCGCTTTGCGAAACATTTCATGAGCCTTGTGAACGTGTTCGTTCTACAAAAAAAAGGAAAAAAAAATTATAATGAGATTTACACGGCTTGTTTAGTAAGGTAATTAGGACTTACTGATAACGAGAGACCACGTCGCTGTGGCGCCTGCTGTGCTGCAGGCGCTGTCGCCTGCTGCTGCTGTTGCTGTGGCTGCTGCTGCTGGGTAACCTGCACCTGCACGGTGCGCGGTAAGGTCGCATTGTTCCCTGGTGTGCTCGTCGAGGTGACCAAACACTGCTGCAGGGCTGGCTTATGCTGCACCAATATCTGTTGCTGCTGTTGTGCCTGTTGCTGCTGCTGCTGGCGCGGCTGCTGTTGCGGCGCCGATGCAGCCGACGACTGCGTTATAATCGTACGCTGCGTGCTGCTCGGCGCTGCCTGCACCTGCACCAGCTGCGGCTGTTGCCCAGGACGCTGAATCAGCGTCAGGCCCTGCGGCAGCGTGGTCAACCCGCCGCCCACATTGGTCATGACAGGCCGGATTATCGTCTGCTGCGAGGACTAAAATGCCATTTTAAAAAATTAGTAAAATTAGTTAAACTTTCAGGTCGCAAATACCAATCTCAACTTGTGCCAATCACATAAATTCGCAGTCTACATTTTTTTTTTTTTTTAATTCAGCAAATAAGGATATTATTCCCGGCCTACTCGATTCTTTAATTGGGAATTTTATTTTATTTATACATAAACCTCAATCATCGCTCGATTTTATAAACTATCTTTTCTTTTGGATAAGCTTACGTCGAAGCAAATGGACAGACGAGCGGGTATTGTACACAAATGAATAGCAAGTTCAGGCGAGGATTGAACATTTGTACAGAATATATGGCAAAGTAATAATTCTTTGATCGAATCAAATCCGTTCTCTATTTTTTTTGCTGCCTTAACAAGCACCTCTGCCAAAACAGTCGAATAACAATCGACATGACGATCTGCTGCTCCACTTACATTGCCAATTACACTCGTGGGCGTCTGTTGCTGGACGATGACGTGCTGGCCTCCAATGGGGTTGGTTGGTATTAACGTGGGCATCAACTGCTTGCCGGGCTGCACACTCTGCTGCTGTGATTGTTGTTGCAGCTGTATCGTATGTGGCTGTATGCTCGTTGACGTCGTCGTCTTCACCAGGCTGGGCGGACCGGCCGCCGTGCTTGTCATTAGGGTGGCCCCAGCACTGAGTCCGGATAAGCCGCCTACATTGCTAATAGGTATCTGGTACATGTCGCCGCCAATGTTGCGCAATATGACGCCTTTTTGGGTGAGTATGATCGTCTTGTTTTTAGCCGCCGTGGGTGAGACGTTCAGCGTGCCACCCGCTATGGCACCGCCAGGCTGCATTAGCACCTGGGATAGCTTTGGTTGTTGTGTGGCAGTCGTGTTGGACACAATCGTGTGCTGCGGATGCGGCAGTGGCTGCTGTTGCTGCAGCTGCGCCTGCAAATGCTGCTGTTGAGCCGCCTGCGAAGCGGGCTGTATAGTGACGGGGCGGTTCGGCAACTGCACATTTTGTATATTAAGCGTTTGCTGGCCAGCAGCCACGGCTGCCGTCGTAGCCACCAGCGGTGGCGGATTAGTAGATACTAACGTTGTAGCTTGTTGATGCTGTCGTAGCGGTGTCATAACCACTCCCGATGTGCCCGTGGTCTTCAGCAGTATTTTGGTTGGCGTCTGACCACTGCCGCCCGCTGCTGTTTGGTACAGTGTCGTTGTCTGCGGACGCGTCTGTGTGAAGGAAGTTAGCGTCGGTAATGCGGGTTGTTGCTGCTGTTGCGGCTGTGGTGTAGCTAGAATGTACTGCGTGGTTTGTGGTTGTGACGTATTAACGACCATTTGCTGCTGCTGTAATTGTTGTTGATGCTGCTGAGAAGCAGCTGCCGCTGCGCTGGATGTGGCACCTTGTTGTTGTTGTTGTTGTTGCTGCTGCTGAGCACGCTTAGCCGGCTGAATGATGGTTTGCGAGATAATCACCGGCCCACTATTTGCTGCCGTCTTTAGCTGACTCAGCGGCATGGTCTTAATAGCTTGCGATGGTATTGTGGTGGTAGTGCTACCAATGCCGCTTGTGCTGGCTGCTAGCTGCGGTTTCTAAAAGGTAAAGACAATATTTAATTAGGTAAAAGCTATTTTTTTTTATATATAATAGCCACATACCGTTCGCTGAGCACTCGGCGTAGAGGCCAATATGACTGGCGTGGAGCTGTTAATCAGGATGGGCTGCTGCTGCTGCTGTGCTGTGGCAGCAATTGATGTTGCCTGACTGCCACTGCTGCCTGCACCACTTCCTGCTGCAACCTTGGTCTTCGCCGATGTTATCTTTACCGAAATGTTGTTCGGCAGATTGGCCAGGGGACTGGTCGCCTGGCGCAATTGTTGCGGCGTCAATATGGTGGTGGTCGTGGTGGAGCTGCTGCTGGCACTGCTGCCGCTTCCGCTGGGATTTGCTGATGCTCGCGACAAGGGCTTTATGTCCAGCTTTTCCATTTTTATAGTTGTGTTGCCGACGGTTGTTGTTGTTGTTGTAGCTGCTGTTGTCGTTAAATTGTTGCTGTTATTAACGCGTTTCTGTTGCGGCGGCGTGCTGCGTATGAGTAAATGCGGAGCACGCTGCACTGCCTGCTGCTGCTGTATAATGATTCGCTGCGTGGTCGCCGATGTCAGCTGCGTCTTAGCGGTTGTTGGAGTAGTCGCTATCGTCGGCTCTATTTTCTCCACCTTAATGTTGGCCGGCACAATGATCTCCTCGCTCTTGATTTCGATCTCCTGCTTGATTCGTTTCGGCGTCTGATGGTAACTGTTATTATTATTATTGTTATTGTTGTTATTCGCCTTAGCTGCCGACTTAGTAGTTCTAGCTTTACTCTCTGTCTTGCGGATGGGCGTAGTCGGCGCCGCCGCTGTATTAGTTTGAGCGAATTGTAGAGTAGCTGCTGCATATTCTGGTGTACTCGGCGTATCCGGTTGTATTGTCTTTGTAGCCAGCTCTGCAGCTTTGAACTCCTGCTCATCCTGCTGCTCATCTATGCTGCCGCTGCTTTGGTTCAGCTGTGGCTCCAATTTGATTTCAAAGCTGTTATTTGCTGATGTGGTTGGCGTAGTTGGCGTCTCTCCACCGCTAACGTTATTAGCTGCAGACTCTGCAGGTGGACTATCGCTGTTGTTGTTTGTGTTTGATGCTGCTTGGGCAGCAGCAGCTGCGGCAGCCTGTTGCTTCTGTTCCTGTTTTTTC